ATAAGTTGAGAAACGCTGCACTAGAAGACAAAGTAAATTTTCAATGCCGCGAAAATCTAGAATTACATATTATTTATATTATTCTATAAACTTATCCTGGATTACAGGAACGTGGATTGCGAAATAGAAATAAAAATTCCACCACCAGTGCCTGTTCGAGTGGATCGAACTTAAACAACAGCGGAATTCGATGTAATCTAAACAAACGCTGACGCCCTGAATATGGAGACAGCAGGTTTTTCCGAAATTTTATATCCACTTACGATTCCACAGAGTGTCATAACGCAGAAGAAAAATTATCGCCATGCTAAGCAGCTTAGTTTATAATACCATTATCCTCTAAACATATATTTGTTCTTGCATTTCAGTACATTTACACGCTAGCAGTGGGATTTAATCTCGTACAATCACGGTATTCTCTTATGTAAGAAATTTATGGGATACATGAGCATGAAACACTGAAAATGTTTTCAGATATCGAACACGGTTTCCTTTCTATTTCAACCCATTCCTTATAGTTGAAACTAGTCTCCTGTACTATGCAGAATAAAGTACATTCGAGTTCGATTCCCGTGAGAGTGTCTGAAACGTATTAACTCTGTATTTCCCTAGAGACTTTGCAGCTATCGTGGAAAGGGACTTCCAATTTTATTTTCCCTCTAACACCTGACAAAGCCTGTGACAAGAGCCAAGGCATGAAACAAAGGAATAGCGATAATGCATTCCGTCAATCCAGAACTTTATGTGAGCAAAGTTTTAAGGATACGTGTAAGACAAAATCCTACCTTATTTTATATAACCTACAACACGGAAACCGTGTAATAACTTAACGTTCTTTACTGATAATAAATGCGAAAATAATATTTTACTTTATGTACTCAGTCCGTCGTTCCAGGAATTAAAGCGAGAAGCCGAGAATAGGGACAACTGGAGAGCTCTGTTTGGGCAGAGCAATGGACCTGTCGAAAGACAGAACACTTAATAATAATAATAACTCAGTCCGTACGTCACAGTTATATATTTCTTTGCTGAACCACATTTATGGATCAAATTCTTCATACGTAAGACAATAAACAACTTTGTTGATCACGAATGGAAGTCCAGTTAATTTACATAATCTACTTTCCTACGAAAAATTTAAAACAGGATTTAAAGCTGTTACAGCCAGTCAAGTAATTTATCTCGAAAACACATGGCAGAAGGAATCTATATAGTGGATGCCTGATGTGAAAAGCAAGAATATATGTTGTACTTCTTTCGTGAAATTTAAAAAATAATTTGCCTTAAGAAATTTTCGTAAAGACGTTGTCATTACAACAAGAAGATAACAGTTATTATTCATCTGTGATCACATTCAGATATTAATAAAACAAATTCTTAAGAATTACGTTAAATTGCTGAATGTACTCTGTAAAGTAACGATAATATCTGAAAACTTATTATTATTATCTGTGCTGTATCTGTAATTGACCATCAGGCTGTTGATACACCACACTAATAATAAAGAACTGAATTGAATTGAATTATTATTACTAGGTCTATCAGAGACTATTCTGCCTTTACTGTACAACGTAATTTCAAGGCCAGTCCCTCTGCCAGATGTGTTTCTGCTGCCAATGCAGTCTGTAGGAGCATCGACATCTTTAACAAAGATCGTATTTTGCTTACTGATGTCAGTCAGCTTTTTAAACAATAATCATTGATTTATTGTTTATTTAGTATAACATTTTATTTTGTATGTTGTTTGTCCAAAATTGATCTGATTTTAATTTAATTATTATTTTATTTATCCATAACATTTAGCTCATTTACTTATTAATTATTTTGCAATAAATTAATTCAGTACATTTATATATTCAGTTCATTGTTTGTTTGCCTTAGTATTGTAACATTTGTATTGTTGTTAGTGCTTGGCTGTTATTGGCCTTTTTGTCTGTTGTCAAGCACTTTAATAAATGGATTGAATTGAATTATCAACATCATCATCATTATTCTCTATGCTCTTTCTTTTTTGCAGACAAAGATAAAGTAGCTGTAAATAATTACACACATTATACTATGTTTTACGTAACCATGTAGACTTGTATTTATCCCATATATTGCATATGTGTATAAGTGTGTGGTGATTTGAGTTAAAATGAGATACGCCTATACGAGGTGCGATCGGAAAGTTTCAAGACTGCGCCTATAAAAACCCGTACACTTATATCAGGTATTAAATTCATCCATCACCCTCAAAGTAGTTCCCCGGGGAGTGAACACAACGATCCCAGCGCCGCTGCCAAGCCTGGAAGCATCCCTGAAAATCTTTCTTTGT